GCCTCACTTGTAATTGGGTTGTTCAAAAAATATCATAAGAAAATTAAATTAAAAAATCATAACAAATAACCTGATCATATATGGATATTTCACAGACGATGCTAATTGTTAGATTTTGCTACAACAGTGACTGCATTTTCATCGGCAAAAGGAAGATAAAATTTGAAATATTTATGTAAACAGCAGAGAAAGAGACCCCAACTAATGTGAAAATTTTCGAAATAACTTTAAAACAAGATATGCACTGGATGATAAGGAAGATAAAAAATTACGTTGCGCCTCGTAATTTAAGTCATTTCTTACTATTTTATTGAATTGCAGGGCGGAATTTACACTAAACGCGAACTTATAAAACCCAAGCAATTATAGAATAACAGTAATGATGCGATAATGTCGAGAACTCGCGCTCGAAAAATAATGATAACTCTAGCGCGAAACATAATGATAAATTTCGCTCGAAACATGATAACTCTCGCTCGAAACATAACGATAATTCTCGCTTGATTATTGCAATATTGAATAAATTGCAGCAGCAAATAAAACGAAGGAAATGATCGGGTTACGGAAAATCGCGTACTAAAGTCGGTGCACGTAAGACGGACCGTCGAGATCGATGGCTGGCGTCCTGACCGACCAGACCAGCGCTCCCTAACCCTTTTAGGAACCACGGCCCGGTCAACTACTCTTTACTATCAAAGATAGTTGAGAGTTCATAAGTCTCAGCTATCTATATCTATGAGAGATAGTTGAGAAACTGTAAATCCCCGACTATCTTTGAGAGTTCTCTCATAACTCTCATAAACAGCGCTCCCCAACCCTTTAACGGACCACGGCCCGGCCGTACTATCAAAGATAGTTGAGAGTTCATAACTCTCAGCTATCTATGAGAGATAGTTGAGAAATTAGAAACCTCCAACTATCTTTGAGAGTTTTCTCATAACTCTCATAAACAGCGCTCCCCAACCCTTTTATGGACCAGTGCCCGGCAAACTACTCTCTACTATCAAAGATAGTTGAGTTGAACTCTCAACTATCAAAGATAGTTGAGAGTTCATTTATCCGTCCGGCAATCACAGTCGGTTTTTCAAGCAAAACCGACCAATGTCAGTTGAGAAATTTGCCATTACGTGTACTTGGCCGCCAAGTTATGGTTGAAGTGTTCAAATGGCCGGATCCCTTGTGAATCAAGTCACGAAAAGTACAAGAATCGGCAACAGGCCATGGGCCTATTTTTTCCAGTGCCGGCACTTCTATTCTATTCTATTCTAAGTGAAGTAGTGAACTCAAGTGAGATTTGATAGTTCGACTCCAGCTAGGAAAGTCTGTGATATATTACCGTCTACCGCCATCTACCATGCAGTAGTCCAGTACCACAGCGTATACCAGCAATACTGCATAATAACAGGTAATGTGTGGGTGTAATTGATATTTATATTTCGTATAACTGAGTCTGCTGCTAATTAGCACACTGAATAAGTACAATGGGACTTATAAATTTGTGGTAAAATTTACACATTAACTTTTTTTTATGTAGAAACCATTGGTGTGAAATACAAATTACCTGAAAATCGCTTGTGGCCCCCAGACGGCCTTCATGTACCGCCTGGAAGGCCCCGCCAACCACGACAAAGGTTTAAAATGGTTTAAAAAATAAATAACCTAACATGCGTTTAAAAATTATTTTTTAAAGACAACACTTCTTAAGCATCCAGTGTCACCCGTGTTACACATGTACAATGAATTTTTAATTTTATTATGAAATATTAGGAAAATTAATTTTTAAATTTTATTTTTAAAATAAAAAAATTTAAATTGTTCAAAATTATTTATTCTGTCAATTGATAAATGCATTGTCTCCGACTTTACGCAAATATGCAAAATTTCAGATCGATTGGACAGGTAGAAGTGTGTTAAATATCGATTATAAGTTATGGAGCAGACAAAATTTTTTCAATTTTTTTAATATCAGAAATAATTTTTTTTTTTAATTTTTAAAATTGTTTATTCTGTCAATTGATTCATTCATTGTCTCCGAATTTACGCAAGTGTGTAAAATTTCAGATCGATTGGACAGGTAGAAGTGGGTTAAATATCGATTATAAGATTTGTAGCAGACAAACAAACAAACAAGAAGTGAAGTTAAAGAGAAGTGTTGTAAAGTTACAATTATCTTGCAAAACAATGTATTTGATCTAATCCGGTAGAAAAATTCTGTTCTATAAAATATGGCTTTAGTAGTGAATGAAGTTTACAAGTTGAGGCAAGAACATCAAAATAAATTACGTTATCGATCACGAAGGAAACAAATGCTTCTTATCCGGGTATAAATAGAATATTTAATTGGATAATACATTATATTATAAATTTCGCCTCAATCTTCCTCTTTTGTTGTGCGGCATCACAGTTGAACTCTCATTCCTTCAATGAATCTATCAGTAAGAATATTCTATTATAAGAATATTCATTCTATATCAGTAAGAATAAGAGTCGAAAGATTATAAAAACAAGAGTGGAAAGATTACAAAAATAAGAGTCGAAAGGTTAATGATTGTATCGGAAACGCACAAATATGATAAAAATTAAGTACAAAACCCAATGAAGGTTCTGATTATATTTTGAGGTCAATGAAGGTAAGGCTCACAGTTAGTAATAGTGCATTAATTACAAGGCAACAAGCATGCGATACCTACGCGAGATAGTTCTATACTTTCCAGCACTTAACCTTGAAACAAAAAAAAAAAAAATAACCTATTTGATAAAAATTTAACAAATACTTAATTGATCTTAAATCTATTTAATACATAAGATAAAATGACGAGAGAATATCACACAAAATGACAAATACTTGATCATCGCGTTAATTAATTAAACAGGCCGGTTAGTTGCGTTGTTGAGAGACAAATCGTTCCACTTCAGTTTACTCTCAGAGAACCTGAGAATGCATCACAGCGCGCGACGTCATTTTAAAACCAATAATAAATCTAAATTAAACTACCACGAGTACTAGAGTAAAATAAGTATTAGAAAATTTAGTACTAGATACTAAATTTGCAGAAAAACCTCAGTACTCACCTGGAAATTGTAGCGAGTGGAAATTTAAATTTCTTCGGCAATTAATTTCTTCGTCAATCGATCAATGAAGTGAATGAACAACGTTTGTCAATCATATTTTTTCCGGTTTAAGGCTATTCAAATTTTTACATACGAACGGCGATCAAACTGCCTTTTACCGTCTAACTCTAATAGAATGAAAGATACCGAGAAAAATTTCAAATTAAGAAACTGTGGTAATTCTGTTCTTTTTCGTTCATTTCCTTCCGATCGATAGACTAAAAAAATTTCCAATTAGAACCCTTCTAACAATCATAGTTTTACTGTTAGATAATAAAAAGGTGATTGCTTTTCCGCTGGGTTATTAAAAATTGAGTGATCGGATTGTTGAAAACAGAGATGACCGCACAAAATATCACAACCCACACGCGTGACGGCCGATACGACACTGAAGGTCGTGTTCGCGACTTCGCGTCTATGTGTACAGTGCCTTTAGGCGCGCAGCAAAGCGCCAGATCTTCCTTCCTTCCTGCATTTATTTTTGAACTAAGTAATCAGAAATAAGAGCGTGAATGGGCTTGGGTCTGGTCGATAACTTGCCAAATTAATTGCGGTGCCAAGGGCAAATTATCTTCAAATAATTTTGAAAATTTGTAAATTAAAGTCATTAAAGAAAACACATTGGATGAATAGTGAAAAACTTTTTGCACGACCACTTGTTGCTGTAAACATTAGACTTGCTAGTGTGCGTAAGAGAACAGCTGCTTTAACATCAGGCAACGCTGCACCTGTAGATTCTGTCCGACTCTCCTGAATTGCCAAAATCTGCAAGTCGACATTAAGTATTTCGTTGCAGCTGAAAAAATTTAGTTGTTCCATTTCAGTTTGCAAGAAAAATTAAAATTCCTTCATCATCTCGTTAATTTTTATTGCTTCTACTTCATCTGTTGCGTGCAGGTCTTTCCATTACCACTATTTTCGGCACGATTTCTTCACGCATTTGATTGACTTAAAAAGTTTAACCTTTTCAAATTAACAGACGCATAACGAATATTTGTGCTCATTAGCGTATAAAAGCAATTTTAGTGGGATGTTTACTATTTAACTTCCTACATTTACTTATCGAAATTTGAAAATAAAATCAACTGGTTTATCACCAAGTAAACAAATGACTAGAAAATTTTAAGTTAATGCACCCGACGATTATTGCACCTCCTCCCCAAGTATTCTAAATAAGTCTACGTAAACAGCAACGTAGCATTCAAGTTTCAGCCCAAGACGCTTTGAATTCATTCAACGTCAACTTCTTGCCATTGCTCATTTAGGAATATGCTTATGGGAATCTCACCTGCCGATGAGGTTTCACTTCCGCACGTCAAAAAATTGAAGGCAAAATTTGAATCGTTCGCAAGTTCGCAAATTATCACGTGAAAGACCATTATCTTGATATTAAATCGAATGTCTTGAACCTTCGACAATCATTTACTACTAAGTATCAGTCCACTAGCATGATCCCTGCAGGATTGCAGTTAGATTATTTAAAGTGATTGTCGCTATGACAAAATTATTTATTTCAAAACTTCACGATAATTAGGATGAGTGGGCATAACTAGCATCTGATGATTACCGGATCAAACCAGGATTGCATCACGTAACACATTTGAACAAAAATTACTCCGTTGTCTTTGCATTTGAAACCCAACGTACAACATGCACGCCTTTACTAAAACACTACCGTATTAACTTTACGTATTTCCAACATATTGTGTCAAAGTCATTTAGAAAAATAGATGAAATACAATATTTGAAGCTCTGAGCAACCTAGAATGAAATTGAAACTTCAGTTTAGACGTATTTTTTCCCAAAAGAAAAATTCGTTTTCTATAAGCAGTTCTGCAGGCTCAACTGCAAAAAAGACTAAGCAACTGCATGGGGAAATAACACAAATGTTCGTTAATAAATGTATAAGAATAAAATCACTCTGCAGTAGAAACGAGATTGAGTTTAGCTTAATATCTGAATGTATAAATTGCACACCGGCTCAACTCTTCACAAAAAAATCGTCATTCAACAACACTAGTATTAGATAAATGGAATTGTTTTCAACCCAACGCGATGATTCAAAACAACATAAAAGAACACCGGTAGGTACATTTAAAAAGTCAAAATACTGCGAACAATTATAACAGGATCGAAGAGTTCGCTCATTGAGAAGATTAACATAGAACCTCTTGTAACGAATAAGAAGACGCATTTTAATGTACGACGAAAGTCTCATCCGATGGAAGCTGTGGAATGTCATACACTTGTGATAGCACACACAGAGTTAATTCATGTCAGAGTTAATTCATGAAGAACTATCCTAACTTCATCGCAGGGAAGTACGAATAAGTATGATAAAAATTAAATACTCATTGCATTGCATTGCGACGAATATTGTTATTCGCGAGATACTTTACATGAAAGGGAAGAAGTTTACAATTGTAAAGTTAATGACTACGGCGGCCAACAAATGTGAAGAACTAAAAATTTACGACAATGTGAATTTGGAAGAATTCCTAAAGGAAAAAATATTATTCAGTTGTGTCAATTTTTCAATCCATCAGCGCACGACTTATCATTAAATAATAGTTAATTAACAAGACACAAAAGCCGAATTATGGCTAAAGAAAGTAATAACTTGCAACAAGGTAAATTCTAGGAGAAAAGTGGAAGCAATTACTGTAAAAACCCCAAACGATAGCGACAAATTACAAGTACGTAACTCGTTATTCATCGGGGCTGACACTGCTTGGTTTCATTCTTACCATTCACTTTGTCTATTAGTGGAAGTGTGAAGAGTAGCGTAGTAAATCACACAATGTTTAACTAACCATGAAATTTCACATATAATAAGAAGCTTTCTTGTACCGAGAAAGGTAGTAAATTGACCCTCATTGGGGAAAAACCTTGATTGTCAGCAATTTCTTGCATCAAAGTTCATCATTAAACACCCGCATCGTACTGAAACTTGTGAACAAAATGCAGCGTTGAGAAAAGAACACATAAACTGGGACATATAAACTAAGTGAGACAAAGAAGTGAAGTAGAGTTAAACCTACACAACAATTAAACCCCCAATAAAAAACCCCTAAAGAGTCATCAGAGAGGATAAAAAATTATACTTCTATTATATCATTGCAATACCAAAGAACACTGGAAGTGAATTTATATTAATGAATTTACGGAAAAAAATTAAGAAAAATAAAAAAATTGTTAAGGCTAAAATTGCGGAAAAATTGCATTTTTTCACGGTAGTAGGTGCACAATGCAAATTATCCATACAAGTAACATAAATCTCATGTTCAACACGCGCATCTTAAGAAATTGAATGCAGAACAGATATTTACACAAATTAATATCCAACTTAGAAATTAAATAACTTATAAAAAGATGAATCAAAGCAAACATCTCACTCTCACTGTACAGTACATAGCAGAATTTTTGGCTTTCTGTTTGAATGAAGAAGACATTCTACTCTGCAGCCGGCTTTAACCAAGCTCTCGTCTAGCGGTCATCCCACTCAAACTCAAAAGTGTTACCCGTCCTTCCTGAGAGAAGTTCAAGAGTCCCGCCTCCAGGGCGCTGTGCCTTGGTTAGGACTGTTACTTTGACAAAGACCAAATTTTTCAACCTGTCACGGATGATTTGCGGATCCTTTGAGCGGTCGAAGTCCAGACTTCGAAACGTGATGCGGTCAAAGCCACCCAAACTCCTGCAAAAATCAGAGCATTAGAACATTACTTGAAATCCAAAACAGAGAGGAGCTCTAAAGAAGAGATGGGTAATGATTTGAGCCGAAATATACGAAACTAAAGTTTGGCGACCAGCAATAAAGAATTTGCTCCAAGTATGACATGCTTTTTAAGAAAATATTTCAAACAAAATGGCATAAAAAAATTTTCGGAGTAAAGGTGATGGAGAATTTATCGAACAAAATATCTAGAGTTTAATCAGATTGTTCACAATGACATCAGTACTTAGTCCATATATGTTCAATGACGTTGAGAGCCCAAGGCAAGGATGCACGCTTGATGCGATCAAAACGCAAATGAATTTCCGTGTGTGTGGATGCACGACGTTTCATTTGCCCCTTGGAAGGTGAGGTAGTATTTCTCTCAAACTTTTCCAGATCCGATGGCTTTGTGGAAGTAGGAAAAGCAAGCACTAGCCGGAGTTGCTTCAGCTGTTGAGCCGGCATATAACAGTGCTTGATGAATCCATTGAAGTCTTCACTCGTTGATATTCTAAGACTCAAAAACTTCAAATTCTTGAAAGTAGAGAGATGGTTCACACCTTCCCTGTTGATGGCTCCAGTAAACTTAACAAGGTTCGCCCATCCATCAAGAGCGGCCAAGTATTTCTCAGATTTACCTCCATCATTTTCGTAGTGATTCTGGAGATGAAAACACATACTTATTTTGTTCCTCCTGCGCTGTCTTAGTGCCAACCCCACTTGTGACAGGCTGGTATGTAAGGAGCTTAGGTGGTCGTTGGCATTGTCGGGGTTTACGTGCATTTGTAAATCAATGGTCAAGTCCTGTAGACTTACATTGAAGCAGTGCTTCAGAAGTCGCAAACCAGCCAACACAGTGTCGGCACTCAAATGCCATTCTGTCTCATGCATTAAGTCGGCAATTTGAGTACAAAAAGGCCTCCTACAATTGTCAACAAAATTGTTTTGTTCACTGCCTTTGTGTGTGTGGCTTTCAATGACCAGCTTTGAATATAAGTTGAAGTCGTCACTTGAAAAGTTCATTATTCTCACAAGATCGGCGATGCCAGAAGAAAGTTTATCCAGTCTTTTTTCAACAGCCAAGCAGCCAACCAGAAACGGTAGAACACCAGAGTATGGAAGTTTATGGTACGTTTCACGAACTTCGTCAACCAATTCTTCCACTGTTGACAGTTTTTCAGGAGCTTGACAAGATGATGGCTCCGACGCTAATTTTTTTGCCAAGAATTTTCCAGCTAAAAATTCCATTTCAGTGCGATGGAAGAAAGAGAAGGTCTCAACCTTCGTGGCCATAGGACGGCGAGGGTGATCATCTTCGCTTGTCTCAGGACTGTAGTATAGCAAGAAAGCTGAGAAAAACTCAACCGGAACTATTTGTCTTTTTTCACATGCCCGGTTGAGATCTACATTTTCTTGGTTGTTAATTTCAATCCTGAAAGACGGAGAGAAAAGAGAGATCTTGGCAATACGAGCAAGTTCATCGAGAACAACAGCAACGTCACGTTCTCTGATCTGAGCATTGTGAGTAGCTGAATGTTTTCGAGCTTTCACCAGCTTACTAGTCAACATGTTGAAGAGCTCCAAGTATAGTTTAGTACCTGAACAGATTGCGTTCAAAATGGACTCGTCACACTTCAGAAACAAGAGAATTAGCAAAGCCACAGTCAAGGGAAAATTCAAATACTCATTCAAAATTTCTGTTCGTTGATTCATAAAGTCACAAAATTCTTTAGCAGTTTTTTTGTGCGGATTAGATTTGTTATTGTTAACATCAGGGGAAGCAAAAAACTGCTCAGAAAAATCTTTACGGCCTTCTTCATCAAAGCCAATCATTTGAATCTCAGAAATATTTGCTTGGGAAGTGTGGTCGCGGAAAATTTTTTGGGCATCACACAAAAACTCCGGACGTGTGGTCAAGATAACATGGTTTGATCTTGATTTCATAAATGTAGCTATGTCTCGCACAAGCTCTACATTTTCGCTATTTTTTTCATCAAAGCCATCAATGATGTAAAGTGTCTTCAGACTAAGAAGATATTCTGGCACATTTTTGGAAACTTTTTTGCCAGCGTGAGTAGAATTTACAGAATTAGGCAGGAAAATTTTATCAAGAAACTGCATGAGTGACTTGCATTCTTGATCTGCATCATATCGAGTAGCCCGCATCTCCACCAAGACGACGAGATCAAAAGAATCTAGTCCGTAGTACAGCAATTCTTGAGTAGATTTCCTGCTCTTGTTGTGCCACTCTGAGAAAATGTGATAGCTGAGTGTAGTTTTGCCGCAGCCTCCATTGCCGTGGACAAGCATCACTTGGGGGGGCTCAGTGGTCGTAGAATTGATGGGCAGGAAGATATCTTTGGGAGATAAATTGGATGACTGACGTTTCAGGCATGGAATGGCGTATACATCCATGGAGATGGGTTCTAAAATGCCACCTTTATTATCTTTAGTTACATCATGAATCCAATAGAAGGGAACTGAAAATTTTCTGTTTAAATCATTTCTTTGGCTAAGCTCGTATTGGCTACATCTGAGAAAACTCAAGCATGGATCATCAGCGAGCTGAATCATGATTTTCTTTCGGACATTCAGCATGTCAGTGCTTCTTCTAATACAATTCATTACTTCTTGGATATCCTTCTCCACAGGTTCAATATATTTGCTTTCATATCCTAAATCTTTGGAAGCACATTCCAGTAACTTCTTGAATCGAACCAAAAGTTTATCGGCATCATTCTCATTACTGTGAAGAGGTCCATAATGGCACACATTGTTTCTCAGTGAAAGAATTTTATCAAATTCTTCCGTGCATTCAGCACAGTATTTTTCTCTATAGAATTCTAAATTAACTGCGGTGATGAATCGATGATATGTGACAAAATCGAACTTTCCTTTAGTGGGATCTCCACTGCCCATTTTGAATCTGCCACCAAATATTAATTTTCGTTTTGCACTTGAAATATTACAGTTCTTTAGCCACGCTGCAAGAGTAATTGGTTTATCCTCATCAGACAGCGACTTGTTATCTTTGTGAAGATACTGCATCATGAAAATAGCCTTCAAAACAACCTGGCCAACTTCATGAAGAGCAACACCAAACAACGTGCTTCTGTCCAAGTCATTAGATGAGAACTCTTTGCTTTCAGCATCAGAGATCTCATTACTACATTCGGGAGATGCAGTTTTTTCAGAAGTAGACGATCCACTGGTGGTAGGAGTGGATGCCATCTTGGACCAGGCTCACGATGTTGCGCTCAAAGTTCTGAAAAGATATGTAGTTTTAGATATTTAATACATAAATTTAGGTCATACTTGGTTAGAAACTGACACTAGGTCACAGGTACAACTATCTTTCAGGTTCGTCAAGAAGAGACAGGTGTTTCTTATAATTTGTTTCATGATCACCTCGAGGTCTTCAATACCATGTAAAAAAACTTGTGATATGTTCCAATAGCCACAGTGGCCCTTCATGTCAATTAGCTAGTCACAAAACAGCTAGTCTAAAAAGCCTGCCTGCACAGCGGCATTTACTTGATAAGATTTACTTGATATAGATAATGAGGGGTCACTTCAAATGATTTAGTAATTCGATTTATAGCTTGAAGGAAAACGGATAGACTTCATTAAATGTTTATTAAATTAAAATTGAATTAACATATTATTAATTAATATCAAATTAACAGAATATTTATTTTACTTACACAAATACGTATCGGTACTACAACAGTGCAGCCATCATTGCTAGGTTGAAGTGGATTACACTTTCATCTCCCTATGTTAAAGATGGGCACATTATTTTTTACACAATTGATCACCTTCTCTATGATTCATAACAACACTCTTTTCAACACATAAACATCAGGGCAACTTGTTACTAAGTCAGTTAAGTTAATGAATATGGCCAAACTTGTGCTAATTATATTTTTTCATACCAGTTGCCAGTTGGTGTGCATGAAACTCAAATAGACAAATGAACAGAGTGATGCTCTACAGACAACAGGCTTATGAACATAACAAGGAGACTAACAGCATTATTTTGTGCATTTTTTGCAAAATTCAATATTCATTACACAGTACACAGTAAAATTATTGGCAAACACAGTAGAGATTTGTAAACAGTTAATTAAACAGTTGCCAATTAATTACATACTATTGTATTAATATATAAATTTTATTCTTAGAGAATGTTTACATTTTTAGAGGAAAAGGAGGAAGGAAATGACTAAATCAAAAATAGATACTACCTACTCTACAATTAGTAAGTACCCACCAGGCAAATTTATTGAAATGTTTTATCAATATTGATCACACCACAAAATTTTTATTTCAACATAAGGTGTTCGGTGGGTATTTAGGTATATCTGTATATATTATAAGTTTTAGATGGCAGAATTTGCTGATTTACATGCGTGAGGTTGATGACCAGAGAATTCATTGATTTAAATTATCAGAGATTCAGACAATTCTTCAGAAAATGTCGGTAGAAAGAAAGGCATGTTTCAGGCAGTAGTTTTTGTTTTTTAACATTTTGAATGCAACAAACATTCATTTTCAAGTTACAAGAAGAATTAAATATAATTCTCTGGTCATTAACCACACGCATATATATTATATACACTTATTATTATTGTGAAGAGAAATACCTACACAAAGGCGGCAGAAGAGGTGCCTGGGTACATGAAAGGGGCAAACAAACCATGGATCAGCAGCAATAGCGATACCTGGAGGCTGATCGGCAAGAGAAGAATTGCCAAGATATGGGTTGAAAGCACCCAATCAGGAAGAATTAAAAACAGAATGAGAGAAGAGTACAGAGAAAAGGACAGGGAAGTGAAGAGAAGACAAAAGAATGTGAATATCGGAAGAAGTGGAGAGAGCACAGAAAGCAGCAGAAAATAATAGACAAAAAGAATTATACAGTATTGTGAAGCGGCTGACAGGACAGAGTACCAGCACCAGACAAACTGCTGCAGTGAAGAGTGTGAACTGGGAGCTGCTGAAGAGCAAAGAGGCCAGAATGGCGAGATGGAAGGAACATTTCCAGGAAGTTCTCAACAGAGAAACACCAGAGGAACCACCACAGGAAGAGGGAGAGGAACGACAGGAGCTTGATATCTCAGCTGAGGCACCAGATGTGGAGGAAATAAGGACCACACTGAAGACCCTCAGGAATGGAGGTGCCCCTGGGGCAGACCAAATTTCAGCCAAAATGCTTAAAGCAGATATCAAACAAACCAACTTAAGAGTTGAAGCGGATTTTTGACTTTATTTGGGACCAAGAGACAGTTCCGACACAGTGGATCAAAGGACTCATTTGCAAAATCCGTAAATGAGGGAACCTTCAGGACTGTGGAACTGGAGGGGAGTTACTTTGTTGCCTCTGGCCAGCAAGGTGCTCAGCAAGATCCTCATCAACAGAATACAAGGTGGAGTGGATACATTGCTCAGGAAGGAACAAGCAGGCTTCAGGAGGGGAAGAGGAACTGTCAACCAGATATTCATTCTTAGCAACATCCTAGAGCAAGCCAACCAATGGAATGCTACATTTTACATCCACTTCGTTGATTTTGAGAAGGCATTTGATTCAATACACCGAGACAGCCTTTGGGCCATCATGCTCCAATATGGAATACCTCAGAAGCTGATCCGGCTACTGGCTAGTCAGGACTCTCTACGAGGACTTTCAGTGCTCCGTGATCGATGAGAACAAGACAACAGAGTGGTTTCCAGTGAGGACAGGAGTGAAACAGGGGTGTTGCTTGTCAGGATTTTTCTTCCTCCTTGTGATCAATTGGGCAATGCGTAGCAGCGTAGGACTGTGGAAGGTGCAAGAACTGGACTCCAATGGAATTTAATGACCATGCTGGAGGACCTTGACTTTGCAGATGACATTGCCCTTTGGTCTTCAACAATGAATCACCTGCAGAAAAAACAACCAGGTTAGAGAGTAATGCAGCAAAAGTGGGGCTAAAACTGAATGCCAAGAAATGCAAGATATTGAAGGTCAACAGCAGGAGCAACAACAGGCTGAGGGCTGGAGAGAGCAAGGTGGAGACAGTAGAAAGCTTCACATATCTGGGTGCAAACATCACTAAGGATGGTGAGAGCACAGTGGATGTGAGGAGGCAAGTGGTAATGGCAAGCACACAATTCAAAAGACTTAATTAAAAACATCTGGCAAGCCAGAAACATCAGCAGAAAGACCAAAACCTCCCTGTTCAAGAGCTTGGTTGTTTCAGTTTTGTTATATGGATGTGAGACCTGGAAACTAAACAAACTAATATCTTGGAAACTAATATCTTTCAGACCAAATGCTTATGGAAGATTTGCAAGATTCGATGGCAGCAACACATCTCCAACAAGTCAGTTCTCGATATGACAGAAGTGGAGAAAATCAGTGATGTGGTGAGGAGACAGAGGTGGAACTGGGTGGGACATGTGTTGAGGAAGGACAGAACAAGCAACTGTGCTGTGGCCCTCATGTGGGCATCTGAAGGGAGAAGGAAGAGAGAATGCCCAAAAACAACTTGGAGGTGAATGGTGGAAGAGGAGAGAAACAGAGCAGGTTGGAACTCATGGAACATAGCATGGCAGGCAGCTGAAACTGGACAAAGTGGAGGAGTGATGTCCAAGCCTTGTGCACCTTATGGTGCGGAGAGAACTGAACTGTACTATTATTGTGAATTCAAACTTCTCAGACAGTTACACTTGTTTAATACCTACTCAAGAGTACAAATAATGCGAGTTTTATCTAATTTTCAGGTTTGAAGTGGTCTTTTTCTCTATACAGCAATCCCTTGATTAGCACGGTTTTGAATACCGCGGTTTTGATTACCGCGGAAAAAAAATTTGCGACCTACCCTTAATCTACGCGGTGCCAGTTTTGATTAGCGCGACTTTTTTTCACAACGCATCATTTTCCCGCCTCTAGCCAGAGGTGTTACGTTCGTAACAAAAGTGTTACTTTTTGCTTATTAGATCTTATGTTGTTACTTTTGTTGCGACTTTTGGAAAAATTCGCCGAATGTTGTACTTTATGAATTTCAGCCAATAATTCTTTAAATAAGGTCCCGTTCCGTAGGCACTCGTGCTGACTACAGAGTCGGTTTAACTGCGCTTTGTCTCGTTCATTCTCGTTCATAACTCGAATGGTCAAGTTTGGCAACGTTCGCCGGTAAGTGTGCCATGCCGGTGCTCTAGTTACTCGTTAGCCTTCAACTGGTCAAGATCGCTGCCATATCTACTGCTCATTTTTATCAAACTACATAATTTTCCTTGATAAATTACCGTCATAATTATGGACAAAAAGGGAACGCTTAAACGTAGGAAAATATCACTTTGGAGACTAAGCTTGAAATAATTAAGTGTTTTGATAATGGTGAAACGAAAACGAAGATTGGTGAAGACCTAGGGTTTCCCGAGTCAACAATATGCACGGGAAACAATACGTTAATTCATTCACATTTTTTTTATTTATTTCCCCTATTATTTAGAAAAAAAATATGATGAATTTTAGTGGGAAAAAAATTATTATGTAACTTTGCTATTTTTGAGGATTCATTATAATTATTCCCATATATTCTTAAGTTTGATTAGCGCAGTTTTGCTTAACACGGTAAAACTCGGGGATTTATTAACCGCGTTAATCAAGGGATTGCTGTATCATGAGAATACATAAGATTTATCTCTTTCAACAGCAATTGGGCAAATCAAATCAAAAGGATTTCAAAATAGCAGGAATTATTAAGCCATTTTGTTTTTGCCATTAAGCAGAAATTATTTTGCCATTTTGTTTCAGATTGAGGTAGGGTAAACGCGGTATATTCCGACACATTAAGGACACATCGAGAAATGAAAAACTATAAAAAAATAACCGTATGCGTTACTCGAGTTCTGTTTGCTTTACGTGACTCTCAAAACACCGTACTACGCACCAGCAATGATGAAACGTCACAAAATGTTGCCATATTTATCTAAAAGCCTTTAGAATGCAAACCTACCAAATCCCTATATTCCGACACTGTGTGCGACTATATTCCGGACGTGGTGAGACGTATTCCAACCGCGCTTCAAATTGTACTAATACGTAATTCCGACATCCACGTGTTCGAATTCCGATCGCTGTGTGAGCTGTATTGGAATACGACACGGCTTTGAATTAGAACACTATTGAATATTGAGCACTACTTAATTAGGCTTTTAATTAACAGTTATTAAGCTTTTAATTAAGAAATTTTAATTTTTGCACACAGCTTGGAACGAGCTGTGTGTGTCCAATTCAAGTTGTGTCGGAATTAGTTTTTATGTGTCTAAATGCGTTTCTCAACTTAATCATCTATTAATTTATTTACCACTTGAAATCAGCAAATACAAGTATACTTAAAGGATTCCTAATATATTCACAGACGTATTTAAAAGTCTCAAACCATAATATTCTTTCTACACAAATAGTTTATCACTATTTGGTAGAGGCTGTAGAGCAAGGTCAACTGTCAACTTTGACACATTTTTCGATGATCTAATTGGGTGGCATGCACCGTCTCTCTTTGGATCTCAACATTTTCCCGCTAGATGGCCCAGACCTAGTGTTTTGGCAGTAGACCAGTAGTTTGACACGCAAATGTATGACGTCACTATTTCAACCATCAACGAACACATGGAACTAAAACAAAGCTCAATATAAAGGAAAAACTAGAGAGGTGTCGGAATTACCCATGATGTCGGAATATACCGCGATTACCCTAGAAAAATTCCATCAGTGAAGTTTTAAAGCAAACACCACACTCAGGATTATGTATGTTTTCAGGGAATTTTCCTGCGCATTTTGACTTTTTTCAATCCAATGCTGTGCACAGTTGGTGCAACTTCTGGCCATCCCTGCTTGCACGCGCAAGCGTTGGCGCAGCACGCGTAAGCGTCGGCGCAGCGCGCACATACATTTTGTCAAGGGACAAGAGACAGAAAACATATAATACTTAATAAGCATTTAATTATCCATCAATAATCTATGATTTTCCTCGATATGGAAATTTTGTGAAAGTAAAAATCTAGAAATTTATTTTTGAAGAAATTTTCTACAAATTTCTTATACGAACTGACGAACATCGTTTGTTTACCTTCCGTAGACCGTCCGGACGTGAGGCAATATTCTGTCCGGACATAAGGGAAGTGGTGAATAACCAAGTCCTCAGAAATTGGACATATGAAGTAAACAAATATTAGTGTTAAATGACAGATTTTGCTCATTCTATATATACT